CGGTGGGGGGGGGCAGGGCACTCGGTCTCTAAAAGGTTTGCCATCACTGGTGTAGGGCTTCAAGAAGTAAAGCAAGACTTTGCACTTGATCCAATATCCTGAAGCAGATTTCTGTCTTCAGGGCTTTCCGGTGGGGTACTTTGATCGATCCCAATGCTTGACAGATCCCGGTGCCTAACCAGATATGCCTGCCGGTTGTTCACCGTGACTGGATTGGGTTATTCCACGGCAACCCAGGAGTAACTTAGCCCTCTCTCTCTCTCTCTCCAGATCCCCCCTCAGCTCCTCTTTGCAGGAGAGGCCACGCATCGCTCCTTCTTTTCCACCACCCATGGGGCCTTGTTGTCTGGCTGGAGAGAAGCCAACCGCCTCCTCCATCTCTACGACTCACTCCAGGCTCCGTGTGCCAGGCTGGAAAGTAGCAGCTGACCACATGGCACCTTTTTCTGTGCTGGTTTTCTCACCAAAGACCAAGAGACACGTTAAACTAATTAAACAAGTTAAACCAATTAAAACAATTCTTTTAATTAATCTGATGAAGCTCCAGGAATCTTTGCTCCCCAAGTTAATTACTAGGAGTATTTTTGTCAAGAGGATATGACAACACAAATATCCCAATGGTGTGCATTATTCCGTTTAAATAACCCTCTGCTCATGTTGCTGTTTCTACCTCATCTACCCCTAGAATCTCCTGAAGTCACCACATCCCATGGAGAATGAGCTGACACCTTTAATTGCACTGGCTAAATTTGCACAATGCGTTAAGCAACAAATTAGCAAATTGTATTTTGGTTTACTTGGCCATTGGTATATAAAACCATATTGGGAGTTATTTGGCCTTGGCTACATGAAAGATCCAATCCGTATAGCTTGGTCTGTTATATCAACAAAGCAAAATGTGATGATGTGATAAGTTATGAATTTGCATTTTGCACAAACCCACCTACTGTATTAAATGTACTTTTTATAATACTTCCAGTATGCTGCTGAGACCCATCTGTCAGTTCTCCGTTGTCTTCCCACACTGTGCTGAGCAATGTATCTGTTGCTTAATCCACTGTATGAATCCAGGTCCTTGTAACTAATCTGTTGGAAACATCTTCATGGATTATAAAGTTGATTTGTTTGAGAGAAGCTTTATTTAACATTAGCCATACTTATTCACCGGTACAAACTGCAGGTTATTATAAACAAGTGTTCTGTGCCTTTATGACTGTATAGGAACAGAAAGCCTGGGAATCTCTTTGCATTTACATGGCACACTTATCCACACCCAAATAGTTTTCACAAACCAATTTTCTGGGTTCATGTCACCTACTGAACATAAATTAACCACATTGGCTAAGTCCATGTAACTTTACTAGAATACAGTGTGGCTGACCCATTTGTGAGCCTCCACGCTCATTCCCCCCCTCAACCTCTGGTGACTTCAGCGGGGGGGGGGGATCCCTGTATTCTTCTTAGAAACAGGATGAACCCAGTGGCTGACTGCTGCCTTCCGGGATGCTTTTTGGGGTCTCCTGGTATTGAAATTTCTTGCTGCTCTCCATATATTAACTAGGCCTTCTTGACCTGTTCTTACAACCTAATGTCTATACAGACACACATGCTGCCTTGGTCAATAAAAGACACCCAGGATATTGTCCACAGACCTCCATTCTTCTTTCTCATTCAATGTAAACTCTTCTAGCAAAGTTGATTGAAAGAAAATGTGGTCAAATACAATAAAATGTTCTGTTAATATCTGAAATATGCTTTTGTTGCTTTTCCCTAAACTCACACGATTGAATTTTATAAACCAGAACCTTGTTAGAAATTCTGGTTTTCAGAAACTCAGTTGTGGCTGCCATAATTCCAATGACACGTGCTTCAAAAACCGTTTGTGGTGTAGGGAGTAAGATGGTGACACACGTTCATTAATCATCTTTTTAATATTTTATGACATTGTCATTGCTTAGTTAATCTTACAATGATAATAGAAGTTATAATCATTGTCCACTCAGACTTATAAATATGCAGAGAGAAAAGTCTTTTTATGCCAGGCTCAAATTCTTCAAAGTATCCGGAATAAAGCTTAGAGTATATTTATAGAGCGTATTCTTCTCATTTG